CCCCCCCCCCCCCGCGCCACTGCACCATTCCGCTTGCAGGGACCTCAATCCCGAGAACATCATGGTGCATGAGGAGAGCGGCCACTGCATGCTCACAGATTTCAATCTGTCCTACTGGCAGGCCGGCGTGGAGCCCGAGCTGGTCCTGCCCCCGCCCCCCCCGCCCCCTCGGCAGCAGCGCGCCGCCGGCGGCGGCGCGCCCGCGGCGGCGGCGTCCCGCCGCGGCGCCGCCGCGCCGCCCGCCAGCGTGGCGCCCGCCGCCGGCGGCCTGTCCCGTACCTCCCTGAGCAGCAGCAGCGCCAGCCTGAGCAGCATGGCGACGGCGTCCAGCCTGGGGGGCGCGCCCTCGGGTTCGCCCCGCGCAGGCGGCTGGCTGCTGGCGGCGGCGCCTAGCGGCGGCCGCGCCAACTCCTTTGTGGGGACGGAGGAGTATCTGGCGCCAGAGGTGGTCAAGGGCACAGGTGGGCCGGCACGCCTGGCCGGCCGGCGCGGCCGGCAGCCTGCCGGCGCGGGCAGTGAGCTGCGCAAGTGTGTTGCGCAGGGTGTGGCGGGCCAGCCCAGCCCAGCCGGCGTTCCAGGATGTGACAGCTGCCTGCTGCCTGGGGCCCTGACGTGCCCGCCCGCACCCCTCCCGTGTGCAGGCCACGACAGCGGTGTGGACTGGTGGTCCTTTGGCATCCTGCTCTTCGAGCTGCTCTTTGGCTACACGCCCTTCAAGTGAGGCAGGGCCCGCCTCGGACCAGCCGACGTGGCCCAGCAGCCGTGGCCGGGGCAGGCAGCCCCGGGGCGCCCGCTCAGGCCTTGCGGTCTCCCCTCTTCCCTCCCCTAACCCTGCCCCGACCCGTGGCTGAGTGCGCCGTGCAGGGGCCTGCGGCGGGACGAGACCTTTGACAACATCGTCAAGATGGAGCTGGCGTTCCCCAAGGGCGGTGCCCACGTGTCGCCGCAGGCCAAGGACCTCATCACCCGCCTGCTGGCCAAGGTGGGGCGTGCGCGCGTGTGTGTGTGTGTGCAGATGTGTGTGTGTGTGTGTGTTTGAGAGAGAGAGAGAGTGAGAGAGTGAGTGAGAGAGAGAGGGAGGCCACATGCGTCGCGGCGGGAGAAGAGGCCCTGCTGAGCTGCCGCCGCTAGCTGGCGTGAGCCGGTGCTCTCAGCCTCGCTCACCAACCCGCCGTTGATGCCACCCGCGCGCCGTGCAGGACCCGCGGCAGCGCCTGGGGGCTCACGCAGGGGCCGACGAGGTGAAGCAGCACCCCTGGTTTGATGGCGTGAACTGGGCGCTGGGGCGGGCAGACCAGGAGCGCGCGGCAGAGGCCCAGTCGATTGGCAGCTCGACGGTGCGGCGCCAGGCGTCGGCCAAGAGCAACCTGGGGGCGCAGCGGCGGCAGGCGCCTGCCTCCTTCAAGCGCGCCACCGTCCCGGCCGCCGCGGCCGGCGGCCTCGCCAAGCGCCAGCCCTCGGTCACTGCCGCAAGCAAGGATGCCAGCAGCGGCGGCGGCGAGAAGGCCAAGCTCGGCTGCTTCATGTTCCGCAGCAAGGGGCGGGGTGACGCGTGACCTGCATGGCTGTTCAGCGGCCGCTAGGGCGCCGTGTTCCAGTGGCCACCCCACCCCCACCCCCAGCAAACGAACCACCCAACGAACGGCAGGAGGAAAACTCTCCCATCTCAATTGAACTAATATACTAGCTGTCTGCCTTTCATACTACTGGGCTTTCTCCATGCGACGGCCCCCGTACCATTTCATTTTAGAGTGTCTGAACTGCATGAACCGCCGCCATCTGCTTCGCAGCGCTATGCCCTGTGTATTCTACTCTTGCAGCTAGCTGTCCCTTCCTTGCTCTGCTCGCTCCGTCGCGCTACGTTCTGCCATCAGCACATCGCTGCAGCTGTGTGCGGCGCCTGCGCTGATGCACAGCCGTGCCCGTCACGTTTGCGCTCATCCCCTCCCCTTACTGTTGTGCTGCTGCGTGTGTTGAGTTGATTGGCCAAAGCATGAAACCTGTATCTCCCTTTGTCATGGCTAATCACTGCCAGTATCCTCTTTACCCACCAGCATTGCCTTCCTGTAATCTAATCTCATGAATCACCTTATCCTTCTCACAATGACCAGCAAAGACAGAGGACTTGAGCCTGGGGGCCGTCTGCGGCTCTCAATCGCGTCTTAGCTAAGGGCCAAAACCGCATGGGGCGATGCACCCCTTTATGGACACCCACATGGACACAGATCGATCCGTCAAGCATTCAAACAATGTAACTCTGCACCAATGTCACAGCATGCATCGTGGCTGCGTTTGGCTGCACCAATGGATGGCCGCAGCGGCAGGCGCCGCCAGCTGGCGTCAGCCGCCGCTCATGATGCCAAACCGCGGCTGACACCGCGCTTGACTTGCTCGACACCATTCACGCGATCTTTCACCACCATGCGCACTGCTGTGCTTTGCTTGCTTGCCATGACGGCGGCAGCGTCCGGACGTAGCCTGCGAGAGGCGGAGCCGCCGGTGAGCAGCCTTCATATCAACGCGCGCATCTCTCCAGCTGTTGTGGTTTACGGTGCCGCGGCACTGGCCGCTCCTACCGGCTGCCATGCCGCCGTCCCGCTGCCCGACCTCGCGCCTTGGCGCCTGCACATGCAGGTGCCACAGGGAGACTCAGCCTACTACCCCTCCAACTACACCATCCAGCAGCATACCTTCACCGTGGGTGCGGGGCTGATGACGACGCCCGCCCCGCACGGCACCCGCACCCCCATCTTTGCGGCGCTCACCTGGGATGCGTGTGCGGCCCTCTGCGACGCCCCGCCCGCCATGGCAGAGCCCCAGGGCGCGCCGTGCTTTGCCTGAGCCTGGTGCCCGTACAAGGCCGGCGCCGTCGAGCGGCAAGTGGGGTGGCGTCTTGGGCGCCAGCCGGCGGATGGGCAGGTGGCGGCAGCCTGCGGCAGCCGGACCGCCTTCAAAGCCCTGCCCCCGACGGTCACAGTATTGAATGCTGCTACCCTGCTGCAGGTGTGAGGTGAACGCCACCCTGCCCCTGTTTGTGCCCGGCTATAGCGGCCTGGAGGCGGCTTACACCAGCTACAACACCTCCTCGCCGCTAGACCCGGGCAGCTGCCTGCTGAGCTATCTGTCCGAGCAGACTGCCGACATGCCGCTGACTACCATCGGCGGCCCGGGAATAAAGTACTGGAGCGGCGTGAGCCAGGAGTACTGGAGCTGACTCGCAGCGGCGGTGCTCGGCGGTGCACTGGCCCCACCCGACCTCCCGCGCCCAACAGGCGTCGCCTGGCTTGCTGACTACTTGACATTCCATGACTGTGACCTACTTGTTTGACTTAATACTCTGTCGATTCCCTCATTCATTACACTGCCTACCGCCCTGCAAAACCCTCGACCGCCACCGCCGCCGGCCAGCGGTACGTGGCGGGTACGTCGGGCCCTGGCATTTCAATTGCCCATGCCCTCCCCCGCCCCTCAGATTAATGGTGTTGGCCCGCTGGATCGGCAGGGTGCAATTCGTGTCTGCGATGGCGCCGAAACGGGCGAGGGAGGCCAGCCAGGGGGTGGGGCGCGCCAAGAGCTCACGAGGCGCCTCCAAAGCCGCCGGATCCGTTGAAGACATCGAGGACATCAAGTTCACGCTGGCGGAGGTGGAGCAGGCAAGCCCGCCACACCGCGCCGCCGCTCCCGCCTACCGCCGCCGCCGGCACCGTGTTCGCCGCCTTCCGCCAAGCCCACCTGTCTCTGCTCCTCTGACCGTGTATGCCCCCGCCGCGTCCCCTGCAGATCCGCAGCAGCCTGCTGGCCTGGTACGACGAAAACCACCGGGTGCTGCCGTGGCGCCGCAACCCGCACTCCAAGCTGAGCGCCGAGGCGGTGGCGGCAGCGGCGGCGGCCGGCCAGGAGGGCGCCCCGCTGGACCTGCCACGCAACGGTAAGGAGACATGCATCGCACGTGCAGCCGCCACCGCTCCTGACAGGCCAGTTTGTTGGTTTTTGGTTATTAGTTATTGGTTATGTTGCTTGCAGAGTTTGTTTACTACGTTTGGATCTGCGAAGTGATGAGCCAGCAGGCGAGCAGGGCTGGGAGCAGCGTGCGGCGGCAGCCATAGGGGCGGCAGGCCGCAGCCTTGCTGGGGCGGCACGCAGGCGCCTAGCCGCCGTGCCCCACTCGCCGCCGCCGCCGCCGCCGCCGCCGCCCCCTGCAGACCCAAGTGTCCAGAGCTGCAGAGTACTTCAGGCGCTGGGTGGCGCGCTGGCCCACGGTGCAGGCGCTGGCGGGGGCCAGCCAGGAGGAGGTGAACGAGTTGTGGGCAGGTGGGCGCGCCGCCGCCTGGGCGGCCGTGCAGGCTGCGGTGCTTCCCATCGGGGCAGGCGGGCACGGTGGGCTTTTCAGATGGATGCAAGGGCCGTCGCCGCTGCTGCTGCTCCAGTTGCTCGCTTAGTGCGGGCCCCCATGCATGCCTCCGCCTTTCCCGCCGCACGCCGCACGGTGCAGGGCTGGGATACTACCGGCGGGCGCGGTACCTGCTGGACGGCGCCAAGTACATCGTGGGGCAGCTGGACGGCAGCTTCCCCACCACCGCCGCCGAGCTGCAGGCCATCCCAGGTGTGGTCACACCTGTGTGTGTGTGGCGGGCATGGATGTGCGTGTGCCTGCACAGCGTGCGCCCGAATGGGATGGGCTTGGCAGGGCGGTGGCGTGCCTCCAACCAGCTGCGCCCCAGCTCCTCCTCTCTGTCCCTCGACTCCCCCAACCTCAGCCCACAAGCTCGCCTCTCCCCCTGTTCCTCCCTGCCCCCCCCGGCCCCC